AATGTATGGCCCTTCCCAAAGATAAGGTGCCATCATGTTTCTCACTACGTCACCTGATATACCCAATAACATTTTGGGTATCTTTCAATGTTTTACTACCCGGGGTATACAACAATATCCCAACACCAGGCCACTGTCACAATCACAGAGTACAAAACAATTTTTATACCAAAGCGGTTCCTCTTGCTGGGTATATACTGCTTGAATGACAGTCTACCTTTGAAAAAAATCAATCAAAGCTGAAAAATTACAAGATTCTTGAATGGATAAAAAGTATATCCCGAACTTTTGTTTGAGATACATGAAAACATTTCTAATCTTGTATAACCTGTCCCCTTCTGTCAGGCCCGGTTTTGTCAAGAAGTGCAACATACGTAACAGTAGTAAACCCTGTTCACTGGTATTATTCACTGAAGGATGGGTACAAATTAGCCATCTGTGGACCAGTATGCTTTTATATTATGCTTATAGAATGAGGCATAAGCAAATTTTTGTTGCAAAAAGCAAATACATTTCTGCAACAGTCGTCTCTTTCCACCTGTGTAGTCTTGACTGTGGTGATTTAAAAACGTATTTGCCATGGTGTACTGAAAATACTTATTACTTTCCCTGACAATAATTTCCATCAATGGGGTGGGTCAAAGAAAAATTCAAAAAAATTCCAGTTTATTGGCCGTGGTTCAAGGGGACAGGTAGGTAGAATTCCACTTTGAGAGTCATCAAAGTGGTGAGGGCTGGGAACAAAATTGGGATTTTGCTGCCAATCCCAGATACGGTTTGCTGGTGGATACTGGACATCATAGGGGCTTTTGGTTGTGGCGGGCTGGTGGGTGACGCTCGCTTTGTCCTTAACTGACGAGTCCCGCAGCGTGGGTCCCCGCGTGGCACAGCGAGTCACGCATGGCGGTTGCCACTACCACCACCAGCCCCACTAACACCATCCACTGATGTCTGTGGCCCATCCATGCCAAGTTTTAAACCACATCATCCTCAAATATCACTACCTAAAACGGGTGTAGGGCCACGGGATGTACTCGGGATGTACTCCCTCCCTTGGGCAAAAGCATAGGGTACACTACCCAGCGGGATGCGCGCGAACATACCGACGCTTCACTGGTGAATATGTTTCCTCACTATCACTACTCGAATGATCGTCGAGCGCAATAAAATCACAATCCACATCAGAATCATCGTCATTACTGAAGTCAGAGGCCAGGCCACGGGAAAATATTAGTTTTCCTTTTCGTTTAGGAACACCCCACCGTGAGTCACGAGTGCCCACAACCAGAGGTAGAAGGTCGAGGATCGTCGGGGTTTTCTGCACTATTATCGATATCCTGGTCATTATTTTCGGTCACTAACTTATCAAAGCCGTAGAATTCGTCTTCATTTCCACTTCCATCAGTGTCAAACTATCAACAGGGAAAAGGAGAGTCCCAATTTTCCGGGAGTGAGAGCTGGAAATTTCGACGAGGCATGGTGACAAGGGGACTGAGCCGGCGTTCCCACAATGCTATGCAGGCCCTAGATTTTTTGTTTACGGCGCCACACCCACGGCGCAGACCCATTCTCTCTATGTAGGCCTATGAGCGCTTTCGCACTAAATTTGACGGCGCTAGAATTTTGGCGTAGATCTATGGTTTGGACACTCACCGACCAGCCGTAGATCTACGGGACGGACCCTGAAAGGGTTAAGAAATCTTCAATCTTTCTTCATAAGGAAGATTCTAATGCTATGTATTAATTTAGTCATCCTACGCTGAATGTTTCTAACGAATTTATGTCCATTTTGTAATACGGAGACCAGAACTGAGCTGCATAATCTAGGTGAGGCCTTGCTAATGATGTATAAAGCTGCAGTATGACCTCTGGACTTTGTTGCTTACACTTCTTGATATAAATCCCAGTAATCTATTTGCCTTATTACGTACGCTTAGGCATTGCTGTCTTGGTTTAAGGTTGCTGCTCACCATAACCCCCAAGTCCTTTTGCAATCTGTATGGCTAAGTTTACATCATTTAACTTATAAATACTAGGGGGTTTTGGGCACTCCCAAGCTTCGAACCTTGCATTATCTTCATTTTAACTGCATCTGCCACTTTTCTTACCAAGAAAGAGTTTGTTTTAAATCCTCCTGAAGTTCCATAACATCTACGTTTGAATAATTATCCTACCTATCTTTGGGGCATCGGCGAATTGACTCATATCACTAGTAATTCCCTCATCATCTACAACGGGCCCTCCCCCAAGACTGATCCTGTGGAACGCCACTTGTTAAGATCACCACTAGGATTTAACCCCATTAGGACACTCTCTGCTCCTGTCAGTGAGACATGACTCGATCCCACTGGAGAGCACTTTTTACCCAATGCCATGAGCTGCCACTTTAATTTAACAGTCTATGGTGTGGAAAAGAACCTCTATCAAAAGCTCTTACTAAAATCTATGTAAATAATATCAAATTCTTTATTGTGGTAACAGCCTCAAAAAGCTTTACTGAAGAAAAGTTAATAAATAGTTTAGACAAAGACCCCGGCCTCTTGTGAATCCATTGCTGAGTATCATTAATAAAGCTATGCTATCGAGATGGCTTCTTATAAACTCAGCTATAATTGTCTCTAGTAATTTGAACTACAATTGTGGTCAGGGGCTTACTTGGGCGGTAATTTTGACGGTTTAATAGGTTATTAACGACTTGTCCCCCTGTTTTAAAAATAGGAGTTACATTAGCACTTCTTCCACATATCAGACACTACCTGTTTGAAGAGATAAATTAAAAATATTAGTTAATGGTTCAAGAGTTCCTTTTGCATTTCTTAAGAAATCCGTGAAAAAACCTCATCAGGTCCCAGCGACTTATTTTGCTTCAGTCTGTCTATTGCCCTTCTCAACCATTCTATCTAGTGACTGTGAATGTTTCTTAATTTATCTTCTTCTAGACCACTGTAAAATTAATTTTGGAATATTGTTTGTGTCTTCCTGTGTAAAAACTGAGAAAATAAATTATTTAAAATCAAGCAATTTCAGTCTCTTTGATCAGTAAGGTGCCCATAGTTGTTGTTAAGTGGACCTATCTTATCTTAACTTTTGTTCTATTGACCTGGAAAAAAACTTTTTTGGGGGTACAGTTAGTTTTAGATTCCCTAGCAACTTTAAATTTTATGTCCCTTTTAGGTTACTTATCCCCTTTTAATGTCCTCTTAATGTCAATATACTGATGCAATAAGATGACCCTCACCTCTTGTTGATACGCCTATAATTTCCTTTCATATGCCCTAGTAGATATGTGAGCCTTTAATTCAACCATTTTGGGTCATTTCTATTTGATCTAATTTCTTTATATGGGATAGAATAAACGCTCTGTGAGCAGCATGTATAGTGTTCAGAATACTGGTCATATTGATTAGCTCTCTTCGTTACCCCAAGTCAACAGAGTTAAGTGTGTCTTAAGCCCATCGTAATCTGCTAAGCGAAAATCTGGGACGGTTATGAGTTAGCGCTACTATTGTACTTCCATTCAATGCTAATGTAATCGAATTTGTGGTCGCTAGCACCCGGTTTCCTCTGAAATTTCTAAATTATTAACAACGGGTTTCATTGTTTGCCCTAACTAAGTCAAGTAGGTTATTTTCCCCTTGTTGGTTCTGTTCACAAACTGCTTCAAAAAACAATCTGAAATACTCTCTAGAAGTCGTATGATTCTAAATTCCCGTCAAGAAATTTCCATTCAAACATGACTAAAGTTAATGTCTCCTAGACATTTACTAACTTACGTTTGCCCTTGTGGCCTTAACAATTTCCTCCCATAGTAGTTTCTCCTGGTCTCTATCTAGATTAGGGGGACGGTATATCACCCTAATATCAGTTTTTCATGACCCTCTGCAATATTCTATCCAAACAGACTCTGTTATGTGTTTCTTCAGTCTTAATACCCGTTTTTTTGCATCAGTTCAAGCGATCTCGACATACAATGCCACCCACCCCCATCCCATTACTTCTCATCTTCTTGTGGAACAATTTAAAACCTGAATATGACATTCGCAGGCATGTCCCGACTTTTTGAATTAAACCATGTCTCTGTTAAGGCAAATACATCAATGTTACCTACCTAGCAATTAATCTCACTCGTTCCATCTTATTCCTAGCTCTACGGCAATTAGCATAATAACATTGAATGACTTCCTTTCCTTTACCTTTCTGCTCATTTCAATTTTTCTACTTAACCTATTACTGTCCTTATCACCCAAGGTCCCTGGCTTTTCAATATCTACTCTCGTTCTTATTATTACTAGTTCCCCTAGAACTCGTAATATTACTACACTGGGACTTCACGTTTTCCTGCCAAAAACCCATACCACTAAAACTTTCTTAGTCCCTAGTGTTAAAGGCTCAACTAGTTTAAGGCAACTAAAATGCAGGAGCAAGGGGTAGTAACCCCTTCTCCTGTATAAAAATTTACTAAATTTAAAAAGAGTATCTTTCGTTTTCTTTTTGGGCCTCCTGCCTCGGTGGGGATACGGCGGTTTGTTGATAGAAAGAAAACTATGGGGATTTGGAATCTCATTCAAATCAGTTTATTTAATAGTTGAGGAGGGTAGGCTCAGGACCTGCCATCACTCGTGCAAACACAAATCAGGCATGTACATATTATACATTACATGTGCTGTCTTAATCGAGTTTTTACATAAAGCTTTCTTTTTTCAGCCCTCATGTGCTGCATACTGTGTGTGGTACATTTTTACTGGGAATTGTGACGCCATAATGATAACATCATGCTGAGACTCAGCCATCTTTTTATATCGACTTTGGCAAGTTCCTTGTGATGCACAAAAAATTTGGGAGCTTCAAGAGACCGTACACCATTTGTATGACATCTTGATATGGACTATGTTAAATGGAGGAGAGAATCATTTCAGACATTTTCAGAGTTTTGTGGACCTTTGATTTTGTCGAGCTTTCAATATCTCAGGCGGAAAGAAATGGGCCAGCTGTAGGCTCTATTTATTTGCCTTTGGTCAAGGTTTGTGTGCTACCAATAATTTTCTCTCTTAACACTAAGATTTAAGTAAATACTTGTGTAGGTGGGGTTGTTTCAGTTCAAAGGGTCATTTGAAATTGTGATGTCTACTCACTTCTGGCATGACAACTACTGAGTGTGATGGTGAATGTTTTTTCCTTCACGTCACCCCACATTGGTAGGAAATGGCCAGTGTGCTAAAACAAAACTACAGTATATCAACATTAAATTACATAATTTTATTATGCACTGTAGTATACTTTTAAATCTGATTATAAAGAATGGCACCAATGCCTTTGGATGATAAATGGTTTTATATCTTTGCATTCTTATTTTATTCTGTATTATGCATCCATGGGAAGATAGTCTATTAGAATAATTGTGAATTGTTTATCTTGTTCATAGATGGCATCTTCTGGAATACCTGGGGTTACGTGGGATGCCGTGACATATGTTGAACGCTCATTGCTACAGGACAAGACTAATGCTGAAGCCGGTGCTATGTTTTCTCGTATGATTCAAGAGTCATTAAAGTCATGGTTCACACAGGTTAGTTCTTCAGTATAATGTAGATTTATTTTATTATTTTTATTGTCTCACTAAGAGATACCATAATTATTGCTCTATACATATGGTTATTTTCACTTTCTTCTTTTAGAAAGGAGTGTGGTACAATAAGTGGAATATTAAGGATAAGTATTGGAGAATGCTAACTGTTGAAGAAAATATAAACAGTACAGTGGACCCTTGGTTATCGACCGTAATCCATTCCAGAAGGTTCTGAAATAATATTTCCCAATTAATCTGTTTCAGACACCCAAAAAGATTAACAAAAAATACTCGTTTTTAAAGATTAACGATAGTTTTACATACAGAAACAATGAGAAATAAATATAAAGCACAAATTTTAATGATAAATGAATATTACATCCCTTTATTGAAGACTCTTGTTGGCATATTGAAGAAGGCAGGAGGGGAGAGGGAGTTGGGAATCCCCAACTCCCTCTCCCCATTGTGTAGTGTAGCTTCCCTGGGCTACACTACACAGCCATATTATTGCACTACACAACCATATTACTACCATGTTCACTGAGTTTAATCGTTTCTAACTACTACCTTTAGATGCCATCTTACACAAAGGGAGAAGTAATGAATAATTTATGCCAAGAATTGGAAACAGACACACATGAAGGACAGTTACTGGGTGAGATGAGACGCCAGATTCACAGTTTTCTCTAATGCTGAATCAGAGAAAACGTAATGTTTACTCTCCACTCGATAGCATATAAACATTGCATGTTTATATGCTATGTAACATGTTTCTTATATAATTATGAAGAAAGTATCATAGATGGATTAATAAAAATGTCTATATTAACCTAAAATAAGACAATGTGCCCAAGAGTGATTATTATTAAACATACATCTCATATAAACATTGCATGTTTTTATATACTATGTAAAGTGTTTCTTATATAATTTTGAAGAAAATATCATAGACGGATTAATGAAAATGTCTGTATTAACCTAAAATGAGACATTTAATGTGCTCAAGAGTGATTTATTACATCTCCAATACAGCCAATCTCCGAAATAACGGCCGATAACTGGGATAGAATTTTGGCCAAAAAAGTGGGCGAAAAACGAATTGGCCGATATCTGGAATGGCCAGTAACCGAGGATCCACTGCACTTTTGAAATCCTAGTTGCTTCTAGGTTCTGTTTTAACTTCTTTTTTGTTGATAGTATATCTACATCTCTAAACTACATGTTTATTTTTTAATTTTTGTTACATGGCTGCATGGACTGCACAAAAAAACTGCGACAGAAGAAAATCTTAATAATACTTTACTAGAGTAATATAATTTTATTAGCATGCAGTGTTTTGGCTAGACAGCTCAAACATTACTTGTATTTTTTTTATCCAGTCTTACCTCAGGGACATACATCAGCATGTAGACCCTTTCCTATTGTTCCTGTATGTATCAGTGACCTACCAAATGTTTCTCAACAAGTTTTCCTATTGGCAGCTAACAATACTATTATTTTCACCACTGACTGACCTTGAAGTCTTGAATTTTAAAATAACCAACAAGTTCAACTTCAGCAACAGCCTGGCTGACAAGGCAAGCACCAGATGAGCCTGGCCAATGGCTGAGCTTTGAGAGTAGTAAGACTCGAAATTCATCAAAGGTATATAAAAAGAAGATCTTACTGAAAAGATATTTTGAGACATACTGTTTGGAAATACTCCAGCCAGTCAGATAAACCTTAGAAAGAAAGACACGCATTAAAATACAAAAATCTGTAGGAATACTCTTGGAAATGAACTACTGGGCACCCTATACTGTGCCACATACCTATGGAGATCTTGTGTGGTATTTGTGCTTGAGGATCAACAACAGCAAGCAATCTTAAACCCATTTTTTTTTTTAACACTGGCTGTTTCCCACCAAGGCAGGGCGACCCAAAGAGAAAGAAAAAATCTTTCATCATCATTCAACACTTTCACCATCACTCATACAAAATCACTGACTTCGCAGAGGCGCTCAGATACAACAGTTTAGATGTCCCTCCAAACTGCCAATATCCCAGACCCCTCCTTGAAAGTGCAGGCATTGTAATTCCCATTTGCAGGACTCAAGTCCGTCTAAACCGGTTTCCCTGAATCCCTTCACAAAATATTACCCTGCTCACACTTCAACAGCTCGTCAGGTCCCAAAAACCATTCGTCTCCATTCACTCCTATCTAACATGCTCACGCACGCTTGCTGGAAGTTCAAGCCCCTTGCCCACAAAACCTCCTTTACCCCCTCCCTCCAACCTCTTTGATGACGACCCCTACCCTGCCTTCCCTCCCTTACAGATACCTCAACAACCCCTCTTCAGCCCTCTGACTAATACTTTTAGTAACTCCACACCTCCTCCTAATTTCCACACTGCGAATTCTCTGCATAATATTTACACCACACATTGCTCTTAGACACGACATCACCACTGCCTCCAGCCTTCTCCTTGCTGCAGCATTTACAACCAATGCTTCACACTCATATAAGAATGTTGGTACCACTATACTCTTGTACATTCCATGCATTCTTAAACCCATAGTTACACAAAAAATATTTAGCCATCAAAATTACATCAGAATCCTGCTTTATAAAATACATACCACCCTTACTCAAATCTTTAACTCTTTCACTGTCGGCTCTGTAATATTACGGCTTGCAAACCAGTGTCAGTCCCATTCTGTTACTCCAAAATTCTAGCGGCTTCTAATCTTACAGGAGAAAGCTGGTAGGCCCACATATGAGAGAATGGGTCTGAGTGGTCAGTGTGTGCAGTATAAAAAAAAATTCTGAAGCATGCAGTGCATAATGAGAAAAAAACTGACCGTGTTTTTGGTTGAAAATACCGACTTTGTGGTGTATGTTTGTATGGTATTTAAGGTTGTATTCTCGTTTTCTTGATCACATTTGAAAAAGTGGAAGATATATTACAGAAAATAGAGATGATTTTGAATGGTTTATGAACTAAAAGTACCTTGAAATTGAGCTCAAAGTAGCGGAAATGTTAAATTTTTGCTGATGTTCAAGTAAACAAGCCGTGTCACGCGTCCAATACCCGTCAACTGGTGGGTCTAATGTGCTTTCGCAAATGCACTGATATTATTTATATCATTTTTACAATAATGCAGTAGTCTGCATAACAGTAAATCTTCTGTTTTTTGTGTGAATAAAAATTTTAAATGGAAAGCAAGAGGAATATAAGAGAGGCCTGGAGATGTGACTAATGAACAGAGAAAATGTTGACTGGAACAATGGAAGTGGCCGAAAATAGGTGAAATCGCCGATGCGTAAATATCGCCGAGACCGGTAAATTCGTGAGAGCATAATACCGTAAGTTGTCTATCAAATATGTACTTTTGGTGTCATTACCATTAGAAAAAGATTCTCTCTCTGTTTTTCTTCTTATTATTCTTTGACACTGAGAGCAAATTTGTGAGCAGGGGTCTTAACAATGAAAGGGTTAATGCTGTTAACATCTTAAAAGCTCTAAAATGTAATCAGAACCTAGATTTAACATTCTTTTTCTAATGGCAGTAAAGGACCCCAAGAACACCACACAGAAAAGCCTCTGATATTACACTAGTAGGACTGAATCTACATAGAAACTCCAAAGTAAATCAAGTGGCCGAAATATGGGACAGTATCAACAGAAACTATAAGTTACATTTTTTTTTTTTTTTTTTTTTTTTTTTTTTTTTTTTTTTTTTTTTTTTTTTTTTTTTTTTTTTTTTTTTTTTTTTTAGATGTCAGCCGTTTCCCACAGAGGCAGGGTGGCCCAAAAAGAAAGTTACGTAATGTTTAATGTAAATAAAACTTCGTATCCATGTAAATATCTACATACATCTTTCTGTATATTTTTTAACACACCAGTCATCTCCCACCTAGGTAGGATGACCTGGAAAAGAAGAAACACTTTCACCATCACTCACTCCATCACTGTGTTTCCAGATATGCACTGATATTACAGTCCAGATGCCCCTCCAAACTGCAGATATCCCCATCCCTGTTAATTTAAAAATACTGTATGCCTAAGCCATTACTTAGACTATTAGAAATATTGTTAATCACTGAGACAAAAAGTATAATATGTATTTAACTTTTTTCTCTGTCTTTTTTCAGGTCAACTTCTTCATTCATAATTTGGCTCAACTGAGGTTTTCAGGGGATCATTCAGACGATCTCCTGTCGTTCATCCCGCGTACATATACGTGAGTTGTAGATTTTTTTTTTTTTTTTTTTTTATCAAGTTGGCCATCTCCCACCAAGGCAGGGTGACCCAAAAAGAAAGAAAATCCCCAAAAAGAAAATACTTTCATCATCATTCAACACTTTCACCTCACTCACGCATAATCACTGTTTTTGCAGAGGTGCCTAGAATATAACAGCTTAGAAGCATATACGTATAAAGATACACAACATATCCCTCCAAACTGCCAATATCACGAACCCCTCCTTTAGAGTGCAGGCATTGTACTTCCCATTTCCAGGACTCAAGTCCGGCTGTATAAAAATAACCGGTTTCCCTGAATCCCTTCACTAAATATTACCCTGCTCACACTCCAACAGATCGTCAGGTCCCAAATACCATTCGTCTCCATTCACTCCTATCAAACATGCTCACGCACACTTGCTGGAAGTCCAAGCCCATCACCCACAAAACCTCCTTTACCCCTTCCTTCCAACCTTTTTGAGGACGACTCCTGCCCCACCTTCCATCCCCTACAGATTTATATGCTCTCCATGTCATTCTACTTTGATCCATTCTCTCTAAATGACCAAACCACCTCAACAACCCCTCTTCAGCCCTCTGACTAATACTTTTATTTGCTCCACACCTTCTCCTAATTTCCAAACTCCGAATTTTCTGCATAATATTTACACCACACATTGCCTTTAGACAGGACATCTCCACTGCCTCCAACCTCCTCCTCGCTGCAGCATTTACAACCCAAGCTTCACACCCATATAAGAGTGTTGGTACTACTGGGCTTTCATACATTCCCTTCTTTGCCTCCATTGATAACGTTTTTTTGTCTCCGCGTATACCTCAACGCACCACTCGACTTTTTCCCTCGTCAATTCTATGATTAACCTCATCCTTCATAAATTCATCCGCCGACACGTCAACTCCCAAATATCTGAAAACATTCACTTCTTCCATACTACTCCTCCCCAATTTGATATCCAATTTTTCTTTATCTTAATCATTTGATACCCTCATCACCTTACTCTTTTCTATGTTCACTTTCAACTTTCTACCTTTACACACACACCCAAACTTGTCCACTATCCATTGCCATTTTTCTTTAGAATCTCCCATAAGCACAGTATCATCAGCAAAAAGTAACTGTGTCAATTCCCATTTTGTATTTGGTTCCCCATAATTTAATCCCACCCCTCTCCCGAACACCCTAGCATTTACTTCTTTTACAACCCCATCTATAAATATATTAAACAGCCATGGTGACATTACACATCCCTGTCTAAGACCTGCTTTTACCGGGAAGTAGTCTCCCTCTCTTCTACACGCCCTAATCTGAGCTTCACTCTCCTCATAAAAACTCTTTACAGCATTTAGTAACTTACCACCTATTCCATATACTCGCAACATCTGCCACATTGCTCCCCTATCTACTCTATCATATGCCTTTTCTAAATCCATAAATGCAATAAAATCTTCCCTACCTTTATCTAAATACTGTTCACATATTTTTTTTTTTTTTTCAACAAATCGGCCGTCTCCCACCGAGGCAGGCTTCACATATATGCTTCAATATAAACACTTGATCTACACATCCCCTACCCACTCTGAAACCTCCTTGCTCATCCGCAATCCTACATTCTGTCTTACCTTTAATTCTTTCAATAATAACCCTACCGTACACTTTTCCTGGTATACTCGGTAAACTTATTCCTCTATAATTTTTATAATCTCTCTTGTCCCCTTTCCCTTTATACAAAGGGACTATACATGATCTCCGCCAATCCCTAGGTACCTTCCCCTCTTTCATACATTTATTAACCCTTAAACGGTCCAAACGGATATATACGTTTTTTCAACATTTGAAAGTATGTAAAAAAATGTACATCATCTTTTTTTTACATATGAAAATGTGTAAAAAAGAATTTTATCTACATTTTTTTTTTTTTTTATATTTGAAAATATGTAAAAAAAAAAACATAGATCTACTTTTGGAGCACTACGGATTTGAACATCGATCTATTTGGACCATTTAAGGGTTAAACAAACCAACCAACCTCTCCAACACTATATCCCCCCCTTCCCTGCTTTTAATATTTCTGTCATGATCCCGTCAGTTCCAGCTGCTTTGTCCCCTTTCATTCTACGTAATGCATCACGTACCTCCCCCACACTGACATCCTGTTCTTCTTCACTCCTAAAAGATGGTATACCTCCCTGGCCAGTGCATGAAATTACTGCCTCCCTTTCTTTGTCGACATTTAAAATTTCCTCAAAATATTCTCGCCATCTACCCACTACCTCCATCTTCCCATCTACTAACTCCCCTACTCTGTTTTTAACTGACAAATCCATTCGTTCCCTAGGCTTTCGTAACTTTTTTTATGTTGTGTATTATTTTTCCTGTGAAATATATGGACTCCCCTCTGTGAATGGTTCAGATCATTGACTGATACATTTTATGGGAAAGATATCTTTTTAGTTTTGTTTGTGTAGTGCAAAAACTTTTGTTTTTCTTTTTAGGTCACCCTGCCTCAGTGGGATATGGCTGGTTTGTTAAAAAAAAAAATTCTATAGCTTAAACATGAAATGTCTAGATTGAGTAATGCCTGGAGAAAAATTCTTCTGGTCGGCTTCAAACTGTTAGTGCTGGTGGGTTTTCTTGAACAAAAGGTTCATGTTGTTAGACTTCATAGGTTCCAATTTACCAGTCTTAATAAACAATTTGTGATACTAATTTCCATTCAGTAATTGAAGGATGCTTCTCATGGTAAGCTTCAAACCTTTAAAGTTGATGTTTATAATGAGAATGATGGTGTCCTATAGGTTTAGGCTGTGTACAAATAAATTGCTAATGTACTAAAATAGTTAAACATCTTGAAGTTATTAGATTCTTTGTGATAACTGTACTTTCTCTCTTATGGTTGGCTTCAAACTTTGTGTTAGTGTGTCTTAGAGGAAAGTTTATTATTGTGGTGGGCTTTGTAGCCTATAATATTTTAATTCTATTCAGTGGTCCTCTGGACCACTAACATATTGCATTATTAAATCTGAAAAATATGAAAGATACAACATTTTTATCTTAAACTTTAAACATATGTTAAATATTAAGCCAGATTTGAAATATTTATTATTTTTCATAATAGTTTCATGAAGATCAGTCAAGTGGTTTACTGCTTTACATTAACATCTCCATTCAAAGCAGGTGAAGTCGCAGATCTAGAGAGTGTACAGAGATCCTTTACTGCACGTATAAGTTCTGTCAAGCACCTTAACTACTGGGAACGCTTGGAAGCACTTGACTTGTACTCGTTGGAACGCAGGAGGGAGAGATATATCATAATCTACACTTGGAAAATCTTGGAAGGAATGGTCCCAAATCTGCACACACAAATCACTCCCTACGAAAGTAAAAGACTGGGCAGGCGATGCAAAATGCCCCCAATAAAAAGTAGGGGCGCCATTGGTACACTGAGGGAAAACACCATAAGTGTCCGGGGCCTAAAACTGTTCAACAGCCTCCCATCAAGCATTAGGGGAATTGCCAATAAGCCCCTGGCTGCCTTCAAGAGAGAGCTGGACAGATACCTAAAGTCAGTGTCGGATCAGCCGGGCTGTGGCTCGTACATTGGACTGCGTGCGGCCAGCAGTAACAGCCTAGTTGATCAGGCCCTGATCCATCGAGAGGCCTGGTCATGGACCGGGCCGCGGGGGCGTTGATCCCCGGAATAGCCTCCAGGTAACCAGGTAACCTCCAGGAAAACAAAAATCATTGAATTTTTTTAAGACACTGAACATTGATATTTTTGTAAATAACAGCTCTGAGACTCCCACCAAGTATTGCCAAGTGATTGTCTTACATTATTAGTGTGTAGATTCACACACACACACATTCACATGTATATGTATGCTTATATTTGCACATTTGCTCTGCCCATCAGCTGACACCGGATGTTGTCATCTTAGACAACCAAATATAACTACATGTGGTTAATGATGCGAGGCCTGGCAGATGTGGTAAAGGGTGATTGCCACTGGATGTGAACAACTGTGTATGTGGTATAGGATGATACCACTGAATTTTAATAGTATGTGGAAACTTGCTGCAGAAGCCAGGGTGTTCCTTGATACATATATATCGTATAGGGTTCCAAGAGGCAGGGAACCTGGCATGGCAACATAATTGCAGAGAATTAGATCAAGGCCTGGAAGCACTCAGTTTGTTGTACTTGCATGTATTGGCGCAAATCCTGTATGAGGTGGTTTTCATGAAAGGTGATAACAGAACTCAATAGGGGCCACGAGAGAAGAGAGCCAGAGAGAGAATGTTAATGGCAGTATAGCTGGGTAGATAAGAGTGAGGCAGGCAGTGCTCAACTGACTCGAGTGTAACATTCACCAATAGGAGGCAGGGCCTCCATTTGAAGCGGGGCTATGACGAGTCTGGTAGCCACCAATGACGGGCTTACACGCAAGTACTGCAGACATTCAAGTGCGCATATGTGGGTCTGGACGGACTGCAAGATTGTTCAAATAAGTGGTTGCTTGAATTCAACCCTTGCAAATGCAAGCTATGAAGATTGAGGAAGGGATCAGAAGACTAGACAAGGGGAGGGCAGAGGCTGCAGACCTGACTCAGACACCTAGCTGTGAGCATAGTTCCTAGCATATCGCCAGAAGCTTGCACCAACCAGATATCCTCTATAACCAATGCTCATCTAGCAAATCTAAGAGTAGCCCTTAGAAATCTCAAGGTCTTTCCGGGCCCTTTATGCAGCGTATGTCAGACCCATCCTGGATTATACATAACTGGCATGGGACCTTCGCCTGAAAAAGCATTTTAAGAAACTAGAGAAAGTGCAGGGGTATACAACAAGACTAGCTCCAAAACTAAGGGGTATGAGCTATAAGGAGAGGCTAGTGGAATTTGATCTTATAACATTGGAAGACAAGAACTAGAAGACATGATAACATACAAAATACTCAGAGGAATTGATAGGGTAGACAGAGATAGGTTGTTTGAGAGGCAGGAAACAGGTACATGGGGGCACAGCTAGAAAGTAAACAGGCAAGTCACAGGGATGTCAGGAAGTACTTATTCAGTCTCAGGGTGGTTAGGAAATGGAATGACCTTGATGGAGTGGTGGAGGCAGGCTCCATACATAGTTTTAAGAGCAGGTATGATGGCCTTCTGCAACCACACATTGGTTAGTGTGTGCATGTGTGCACGCACACGCATGCATGCCTGCATATTTTTATATTTTACTGTATTAGAATTTATAACTGCCTTGCATTATGTTTGTTGAGGTAGAAGGGGATGGGCTTATGGGATTCAGGGATACTTTTCTTGGATCAATCAGTGACCAAAATACATATAATAATGTATACAGTAAGTGCTTGATTTTATGGACTGATAGGGAGCAGTATGTGGCTAGTAATGATCATGATGAATGGAAATGAGATTATTTTGCCTTTATTGTAACAATAACAGACAATTCTGTAACCAGTCGTATTTTCTGAATCGACTGACTCTGCAGATTTTGTCCTGTATTTCTAAAAGTTTGTCAAATTGAGGGTTTGCTGTATTTTTTTTTTTTTTTTTTTTTGGCTCTTGCTCCTATATCTAACATAAAAGTTATGGTCTCATGGTAATGTGATTGTTAGATGCTAAGGTCATATTTGCTGAAAGAATGCTCTGAAGTGGAAGTAAATGCAAGAAAGTTGATGTAATAATAGGTATAGCGAGGTTCTTGTTTTAACACTCGTCTCTGCTTGATCTTCTTCAGACAAATCTGTAATGGTTGCTCTAATGGAGAACTTAAAATCAATTTTTGGAGAAAGTTCATTGGTTGCTTTTATGGAATTTTAAGAATAATTTTTTGGTTGTGGTACTTGAATGGGTAACTCAGGCAACTTTTGAAGTGTTATTTATCCAGAATTTCTTCATGAGAATAAGACTGCATAATTTTTCAGAGGATTATCCTTTACATATTTTATAATTTGATTAACTAATGGTTGTTATGATTACTTACAGGGCAGCACAAGATGGAAAAATTCACATTGTAAGACTTTATAGCTACCAGAAGCGCTACAACCCAAATAAGTATTATGTTTATATCTTGGAAGTGGAGCGAGAAGGACAGCGAGAGCCATCATACCTCTTTCGATCCTATCGGGAATTCTCCGAGTTTCATCAGAAATTGTGTATGATTTTTCCACTCGCCAGAATACATGGGTAAGTACAGAAATAAAAGGTCTTATTTTTGTTTAAGTTACATTAAATATTTAACATACATGATATTTACATACCCAGCTGGAAATTAATAACATTAAAAATTAGTTGTTCAACATTTCTGTCCCTTACTGCTTTTATATATGGAAAAGGTGTACAGTTTACAAAATGAGTAAAGTAGATGGAAGAAAATCATATCAAAACAGTTAATAAAACTTCTGAGAATTTAATAGAGAAACAGAGGTATGTAGGTATGCTGAGAAGGTATTGGAATATTAAGCAGACTACAAACACTTACCAAGGTGAATCTTTATTAGATAATATTTTGCCAATATGTAAACTTTATCAACCCCTATAAAGAATACATGCTACAAAAATAATCACTACATCACTTTGAGCAAGAAGTTTGGGAATGCATAGTGTTGACAGATGGTGCACAATTTGATATGTTGTCAGGTATTGGTCCATATATTTGTAAAGTGAGTTTGAGGTGGTGTAGTGCAGAATGCATTAGCATTAGGAAGGAAGGCATGTGTTATTCAGACAAAATCCTCCAGTGTTGTGTTCCTTTATAGGATGTGATAAAGCTCATGCTGGAGAGAAATGTCAATCAAAGAGATTTGTCTTTCTGTGTGCTCTTGTTTTCCAGTTGTAAAAGGTACTTTAACTTATAATGCTTGAAGTGGAAAAAGACTGTGTTAATTATGCTGAGTATTTTTAGATTCATTAAAGCTGAAATCATAGGTTTTCAGCAACTTGAAAAATATTGCAGATATTACAGAAAGTTGCCTTGCTAAATCAGATTTGTCACTTCAGTTTTAAATCCCTTTTCGGAGCAGATAGACATTGATTGAATAACACTATCTTAAAGAACTCAATAATAACAGTAACCAATGACACTTTAACGAATGTTAAATTAAGGTAGGTGCTTAACGTAAATTGGTAGATCTCTTTCTGAAAATTGCATTTTACATGAAATCAGTATTTTGTGAAGACCTTACGAGAAAAATTGCGTTACTTCCTTAAACCTCCACAAAGCCATACAAATTTTTGAAATTGGGATAAAAAGTTAAATGAAACTACTTTATCATACCAAAAATTCTGGTTGCTGTTACTTGTTGATATGTAAATATGTGGCCTTGTACTATATCTATTGCAACTTGTATCAGTCAGTATCAGCCTCTGCCACCGCCACCGCCTCCGCCGCCGCCACCGCCACCGCCTCCTCCTCCTCCTCCTCCTCCTCCTCCTCCTCCTCCTCCTCCTCCTCTTCTTCAGTGTGTCAACATCAGTAAAAATAAGCCACAATTTCTTGTCAAATTATGCCAAATAATTATAGATTTAGCTGGACTTGAGTCCTGGAAATGGGAAGTACAATACCTGCATGTTAGAGGGGTCTGGGATATTGACAGTTTGGAGGGACTTCTAAAGTGTCGTATCTGAGCGCCTCTGCAAAGACAGTGATTATGTATGAGTGAGGTGAAAGTGTTGAGTGATGATGAAAGTAAACCATACCATTTATATGGTAATGGAAGTATTTTCTTTTTGGATCACCCTGCCTCGGTGGGAGACAGCCGACTTGTTGAAAAAAAGAAAAAAAAAAAAATTTGCCACACCTAAACCAAAACATGTTTACTGAAGTTGAGTGGATTTGAGATAGTAATAACCAAGAAAAATTCATTTATATGGTAATGAAATGGTTGGAAGTGGTGGTGCTGGTCATCAAGGTCTACAGTGATTTGAGGCATGGGAGTTCTTCTCCCAGTGGTGTGGATGGCCGGTGATGCTCAGTATGATGTAAACTGTGGTAATCTTCCGAACCCCCAACAAAAGACAGCAACAATAGGGTTGATTCACAGTCAAAATTATACCTTCCTCACATAACCAGCAGGCTTGGTGCCAGGCTGGGCTGCAAGACTAGAAAAACTCGCAAAACTGGATGGGTAAAAATAATTACTTGTAAAATCTGTGTTCTAAGAGGAGTTGACATGCAGTGTGGGTTAAGCTTTCTTTTTCCCTAACTTTGGGAGATTCTGTGGAGTGCAATACCCGTTTTTTCCAATGATACACGAGGATGGAAAAGATTTCATTAGTGTTTTATTGATAAAGCTCTACATGAGTGCATGTTGTGTGAGAGTTTACTGTGCATTACATTTCAAGAAGAAATTAACTAAAACATTAAAAGCAGTTTAACTAAAACATTAAAAGCACTTTAAAGCATATTTTATTTGAATGATTTCCGATTTTGAACAGTCAAGGGAACCAAGGGGTGAGCTGTGGCTCCTGGCTCTGCTTCTTATCTTTTGACCAGTTTTTGTGATTTTGTGTGCGCGTGTGCATTAGGGCATGTGTACGTGTACTCGCTTATTTGTACTTGCCTGTTTGTGGTTACAGGAGCCTTTTCTCAGATCCTGGCCCTGCCTCTTAATTTGCCACTCTTCAGATTTGCTCCCTCTCAGCCTCATAGGCCCTATTGTACCTGCTCTTAGAACTATATATGAAGCCTGTCTCCACCACTTCCTCATCAAGATCATTCTGTAACTAAGAAATATTTTCTAACATCTCTATAGCTCATCTGTGACTTTAACTTCCAACAGTGTCCTCAAGTTCTCGTTTCTCGCCTCTCAAACAGCCTTTCTCTCTCTCTCTCTCTACCTAATCAGTTTCTCTGAGTATTTTCCATGTTATCATGTGCCCCCCGGTTCTTCTAATGTTGTTAGGGCCAATTCCGTTAGCCTCTCCTTTTAGCTTATGAACAAGCCTTGTTCCATACTTTTGCACATTCTCCAGTTTCTTAACATGCTTCTCCAGGTGCAGTTTCCATACTGGTGTTGCATACTTCAAGATGGGCCTAACATATGTTTTATAAAGGGCCCATGGGATGAACCTTTGTTGAGATTCCTGATTTGTTAGATGAGCATTGGCTGCAGAGGTTATTTGGCTGATGTGAGCCCTTATCCTCTTAGTCTATACTCTGTTTCTGGTCTTCTTAGCTCTTTTCCCAATCTTCATTACCTTTAATTTAGTGGGGTTGAAGTCAACCAACCACTTATTTGACCATTCTGAGGCCTTTCCTTTTCCTCATTTGTTTTGATTCTCATAATTTTACATCAGCAAACAAGAATATGCAATAGTCCCTTGAGTTACCATATTAATACATTCCAGAAGACATGTGGTACCTCAGAACCATCATAACTCAATCTCTAAAATATATGGTTTTATGGTAATTTGTTCCAAGATACCAGAACACACCCAGCCTGCCCTTGGATACTTAATGTTTTAAGACTGGTGGAATTCTAAGTGATAAATAAGGACAGGCATCAGCTTGAAATCTCCAGAGGCATTGGCACTCAACATCAGAGTATTCCTATTTTTCATAGGCTTATGCCCAAAAAGGCAGGCTAGGGCAGGCAGGCAGGACAGAACAGGGCAGGCAGGCAGAACAGGGTGGGCAGGCAGGCAGGCAGGCAGCCATGCAGCCAGGCAGAGATTGATAAAGAATTGTAGACTTAATATTTACTTACTCTCCCTCGTGCCTCTGCCTTCATTTCTATCTTCCTCTCTCTCTCACTTCCTCCCACCTATTCACTTCTAACACAACCTGCACCACCATTCAGTCAAGACCTTTTCATTGCCCTGTGTTTTCTCTTGGCTGAGGCCCATCCCCAATACACCCTGACTATCATCTGCATACACATACCACATCTCAAGTTTTTCAGTGTAACTCAAAATTAAATTCCTTTATGAGGGGTAAATTGTAACTCAAAATTATGGTAACTAAAGTGTGTCATAACTCAAGGAGCCACTACACCTGAATCAATCCTATCTCCAGTGTCATTCACACACACCAGAAACAGTACTTGTCCTAATACCAATCCTTGCAGAATTCTGCTAGTTACTTTTCCCATTCTCTTGCCTGACCATCACTCTTTGTTTCCTTCCTCTAAGATACTCTTTAATCCACTGGAGTACATTCCCTGTTATTCTTGCCTGAATCTCAAGTTTTTGGCCCAGCCTCTTGTGGGGTACAATATCAAATGTCATCTTGTAGTAAAAAAAAAAAAAAAAAAAAAAAAGTCCATCCAACCCTCTCTGGTCTTACATCTGTTACTGTGTGCATCTGCATGCATGTGCATTCACGTGTGTGCGTTCCATGGATTGTGTGCATTTATCTAGGTGTTGTTGCATGGGCTGAACTTCAGCTACAAGGCATGCAGCTTTAATTTGAAATACTAAAGTGATCTTGCTATTACTATATTTATTTTTAAATCCTTACATTGAGTTGATTTCCAGTACCAGTGGTTAATAGAAGCAGTAATATGTCTCCACTTTTTTTTTCTTCTTTCTTTCTTTAAGAGGAAAGTGTATGATAGTATCATGCAGCAACCCATGCATAGTTCATTATGAGATCCCATTGGATCACTTTTGTGCTTGCTGTTCTTGCCTGAGGTGACTCGTTGTAGGCAGAGGCGTCGTAACGGGGGGGGGGTGCCCCGGGTGGCACCATTTAGGGGGTGACACCATAGAGCCTCTAAAGAAGGTAACACTAATGGCCAACACCATGCTGCAGCGACCTAAGGGAAAAATTCTTCGTTTCTATATAGCCTGTTCTAGGATTACATAGTACAAATAGGCCTGTTTAGGGAAAATCATTGATTTTGATGATGTGATAGATGGTTTTGCAGGATTGAAGGCAAGGATATGAAATATCAGATTCTTTGAGATGTTACCTGTACTCAAGGTTAAATCAGAACTAGTGTTTTTCTTCATTTTTCAATTTTTTTTTTTTCATTGTTGATGAATAAATGTAGGATCTGTTGCTACTCAAAGTGGTATTTGAGTTTATATTTCATCAGTATTACTTCGATTATTTATTTTATCATTAATAAAGTTTGGTTTATGGCCTTTTAAACGTTCTCATTGCTAAACATTAGTCACTGGTCACGCAGCAGTGATGTAACTGGAGTTTATTCCCCCTATCCCCCCACCCTTGGATTTCATGG